AAAATTTTTCGAATTTGTTACATTTTCACACAATGTATGCAGTCATTTACTTGCTTCTCCTATAGAAGCAAAATTTACGTACATGACAAAATTTAATTCCTGTTGATAATTCAATTTAGTGTTGTTTTTTTTTTATTCATCAGAACAGCTCATGCCTTAGATTGGTAAAATAAGAACCATAAGGAATAGAAAATTGACAATATTGTACAAAATCTTTTAGAAATGTGTAATCATATGAAAAAGAAACATTTTAAGTGTGTGTGTTTTTTGTGTTTTTTAATTCTTATGTACTAAATAGTTGAAATGATTCTAAAAAATCCTTTAAATAAGTTTTAAAAAAGAATTTTCAGGATAAAATTATGAATTTTGGCCAGTTTGTTTTTTTTCTCATTTATAATAGACCTTAATTTGGCTATTTGAAAACTATATATAGATGCAAAAATGTAGGAAGAATGTCAATCTTTTAATAACAAGCCATGGTTAGTAAGTTTTAAGCTCTTGTAGTTTAATTGTCAAAATGCCTCTTTATTGTATCACATACATAAGAGGAGTTCTGAGTTCAAATCTCAGCAAGAGTTCTTATTTGCTGATTCATGGTTTGTAAAATTAAAATAGGGCTATATTAAAGTTTTTGTTTTTATAAGTCATTGTTTTTATTTGACAGTTATTAAAATCAAGTTTTTTTTAAACTTGATTAGAACTCTGACAGTATGATTTAAAAAAAAAACTATTCTTTTTTAATGAAATTTTCCGAGAATCTTGATCTATCATAGTATAAAGCGACTTGACGAGTAAAATATCACTTGCCACAATGTCCAAGTGTAAATAGTGTTTGACAAATGGTAAAATGTACTAAATTTTCTATGCGTTTTCTAATTTCTGCTTACTAAACTGCCGGCATATAATATGGTAATATCTGCTAATCGTGAAATTCGCTCATATCTAACACCCGACCGCGGATCGGCAAACCTGTGAGGAATACTACATGATCAAGGAGTACTATACGAATGCTAAATGCAAGATTTCAAAATGGCCCAAAACATTTCTCATTTCGAATAAGACCAAGCTTGTCTGTCGATTTTCGTGTTGACCGTGCATTTCATACTGTGCATGTTTTTCACGTATTTGCCGAAATTTTTGTCTTGATATTCAATCAATATTTCAAGTTTGAAATGAATATTTGTTTTGGTTTTGGGGAAAAAATATAAAAAGGGAGAAATGCCTTTCAAGATCATCTTAATTCCTTTAGAAATGCATTTTACTTTTATATAAAATAAGTATTTTATGTTTTAAGTGAATATGTTTGAATTTTTTAGCAATAAGCCGTAACAAGGCGAAAACATAATCGAAAACATAACCAAAAAGGTTAACCAACGCCGACACGTTTAGCTTTTCATTAATGAAAAAAAAATATTTCTCGGGAGTAAATAGTTAGCTGTCATTTGGTCACGGAGGCCCCTCATACCTTTTGATATAAATGCAAATATTGTGTTAAACAATAGCTGAAAGTAATGACATATGATATACAATCATATCAAACATCAAACACATATCAGTTTCCGCCGCCTAATTCCCTTAAGTATGCAAGTCATAAGTGATTGCATTTTTTCATTATAACGAACCAACACATTTTACAGTACCAGTTAAATGTTTACGCGAGCAGAGCGACCAGGGGAGAGAACTAGAACATTACGTTTTCTTTACTCTATACAGATTACTTGCCCCTGGAGAATGTTGCTAGGTGATATGATAGATCAAAATCAATCGGAACATTTTCGGCTATTATCTATAATAACCTCGGGGTTAAAACGGATTGAAAGTAGTTCTACCACGTGGTTGGTTTCTGATGTAAACAAAAACAGAGAGAGAGTAATCTTCGATAATATATATTTGACATCCAAAGGAAAAGAAATGTCTGTTTCAGTACACTTATGATTTAAAATATGTCTGACAACAATTTTTAATTTAAGACATGCCCACTGATGTACAATTTTAAGCAAATCCGACTAAATGTCAACAGATTGACTTTTTGTACTTTTGGTTTCTACAACCATAATAACATACATGTTTTGTTTGTTTGTTTGTTTCATTTTGCGCCTTTTCCCAACAGTATTTCAGTTATATAGGCGGGTAGTTTCCTAATATACATGTATATAAAAAATAATGTTTTCTATGAATTCACTTATTTACGGTTAATTTTACTTGATATATTTGAAATAAACTTGTCAACAACTCCCAGCATTAAATTACTATTTGCTTACATGTTTAGTTTCTTAGCGTAGGTTAGACCGTTTTACCGCATCCGTTCTGTGTATTCATACTATTGTGTCCGAAGACTGATGGAAAGGGCCGAAAAGTTGCGATTGAGATCGAAATAACACCATATGACGTCACGTAAAAAGTTTACGTACGTTAATGCACTTCACAGTCTGTTTAAATTTAGATTAGAATATGTCTTATATACCGCGAAGAACCGAAGCAAATAGCAATGTATTTCTAGAACGTTGAGGGTATATGTAAGTGTGTGCATTAAATCTATTATTGCGTTTTGTCTTTTTTCGTATATTTCAGCTTAAAAAAGGTCATTTTTTCCGTATTCGGCATCATACTTCTTTAATTTATGATTTCATGTTTTCAACATCGTACTTCCATGTTTTTCGCGTTCTAGATGTCTTCATTCATAGGAGATGGCCCTAACGGATCATTATAGTAAAATCTTTCAAAATGATAGTAATGACCTAGTAAATATGAAGTCACCCCATGTACTAAAGGATATTTATTCTTATCAAAATAATCTTCTTACGATTGTTTTTCTGAAATGAGCACAATAAAGATACAATGAATTGAAAACATGTTGAATTAAAATGTCTGGCTTATATGTTTCCGGGTTTAACTCTTTAGTCTCCAGTTTTGTTTTTCAGTTTATAAAGTTCTGCTAGTTTCCGGTCCCTCCATTCACGGCGCTGCTCGATTTTATCCAGAGGAATTTGTTGCTCGAGTTCTTCCTGAATCTTTTCAAGTGGAGGTCCTTCAAAACGGATTGGAGGCCCAGATTGCTTTTGAAGTTCATACAATGGATCCGCATACATTGAACAAAAATCCTTCATTCCTGAAACAAAATGCGAAATGTACAGTCCTCTTAAAGTTTCCAGAACTTTATGGTCAATTTTTTTGGTCAATTATCGGAACCATCTTTTGTATTTTGCTTTTGTTGCCTCAGTTAGTGATTTAGTATTTTGTATGGAAGTCGGAATACTACTTTGTTTACATTTTGTTACCTTTATGACAAACGATTTCACATTCAGTGCTTCTTTCTTCATGTAATAAGCATCTAACATGCTCTAAAACCATTATTTAGACCATGATAAAACTCATGTTCGCCAATTCTAAATAAAGAAAGAATATTAATTTCTGAGGCATAATTGCCTTTAAGAAATTTTGCTTAATTAATTATTATTATTATTATTTTTATTTCAATGTGCTTAAAGAATTTTTAATGACTCTTAGAATAATGTTGAAAATTAACCGTTTGCATTAAGGTAGGATGTCTCTAAAGCACCCATAAATGCATATCTCAACCCAAGTCCGTGTGGCATAAGCTTGTCCAAGTCAGCTACACTGATAACATCATCCTAGAAAAGAAATCAACAAATGCTAAATTTTTAGATTGAAGAATAAAGATGTAATCTTGAAATGCAAATAGTAAATATCTTAATAGAATGACTGGTGTAGAAGAACTTGCAAGTAGGCCTATGTATAACATTGACTTTCAATTTTGTATCGTCACTGTTAATAAAAGCTTTCTGCATAGGTTACAAAACATAAACATGTATGTATTCATTGCATTATTTTCTGGCAACAACAAAAATCTCAGTGGTATTAACTATTTAACGTCGCTATATCTATTTTCCTGTAAAATTAAGTTACCTTTAATTGGCACTGTGCTTGATACATTTTGGGAAAAAAACAGAAGTTAATCGAACCCGTATAAGTTTGAAACATTCCGCAGTAATCGTATGCTGAATACGACATATAATGAATCCCGCAGTCTCCTTCTTTGCAACAATGGGCACTTGACCAGCGTCTTCAAGGATAGTTCTAGCTTGAGTTACAACTGCTGGGTCGGTCCAAGGAGTCGCAATGATTTCAACTAGTGGAACCAGATGTGGCGGGTTAAGCTTTGTAGTAGAATTGTTTTGTTATATTGATGCAAATAATCTTAAAGACAGACTGATCGGAACACTGTTATTTAAAATAGTCTTGAAATTATTGACCTTTCTGTCAAACTGGAAGAGGGAGGTTTTTGCCATTGATATAAATAGTAAGATATATTCTATTTCTATTAACGGTGGTAGATATTACATTCTTTTAAATATTGTAGATGTCATAAATTTCATTGTATAAACAATTATATGAACAAGTAATAAGGGGTGTACTAAACTGTAAAAATAAAAAAGTCTTACAGGATGTGATACAATTACTCTGTCCTTGAGTTTCATTCCCTCCGCAAGTCGAGATGGAAAAATATTCCCGGTTGAACTTGCTAATATAACATCCTTAGACGCATACTTTTCAGCTTCTTCAAACACACTTCTCTTCAAGTTGAAGTTTTCAAACACACATTCCTGTCAATGACAAAGAAAGCCAAAGAATTGTATTAATTTCTGGTAAATGTAAACAAGAAAGAAATCATTGTAAATAATAATCCAATAGTAGATCTTAATCAGGACTTGGACGATCACATTTGTTTCGGCCTTTATCATATTAGTATATTTTCAATACATTTCATTTTGGGGAGAGCGGGGTATGCTTATAATTAACATTCATATTGACAATACTGATAAAGGTGTCTCTCTCAAAGAAATCAAACATGGTTGCAAAATATAGATAAATTTACCTGAACGTAAGATGCACCAGCCACACACTGTTCCATAGAAGGCGTTGTTTTTATAAACTTGAGAGCTTCCGCAGCAGATATAGTTCCACGTAAACATCCTTTCTCTTCGAGTTCTTCCATCTTCCTTTTTATGGACGCCAAGCCATCTTCTAACTTTTCGGCAATATTGTCGAAAATCCGTACATGGAATTTTGCCGTCGAGAAAACGATAGCCCAACTTTGGCCCACCAAACCACTATAAGAATTAATGAAAAGCAAAAAAAGGTTGTTAAAACTACATGTCTAAAATATAATTCGTCTGTGTCCAATTTTATCGTGTTTTTTTTATCAATTTATTTATTTGAAAAGTTGTTCAAATTGTTATCAAGAAAAGGTTCTTAAAAGATTTATATTTTCTGATTTATCATATTAATTTAGTCCCTATATTTAAAGTATTAAAAAATATTTAGAAATATCAACAAAAATACTCTAAATACTAGTTTTGCATAGTCAGCTGTTTTATTAATTTTGTAGGCAAGTATAAATAAATATTCAACCAATATTCTGTTTTTCAATCATTAAAAGCTAAGTCAACGTTCAAATTTTTGTATAAAGGTTTTAAACATCAACCAATATCTTGTCTTTAAGTTATTGTATAATATTAAAATTGTCATACAATGTATGTAATAAAAATATTGCATCTTAAACTTTCTTAAAGTAAATAATTTTTGTGCTTAAAGTTTCATTAAATTTTATAACAGTCAGCATATCTCCCAAGTTCCGCGCATGCGTACATACCGTTATAATAAATAAAACGAAACAAGAACACCAGTAAAACAACAATATTAAGTATACTCATACCAGCCGATTATTGCTATCGATTTGTCCTGAGCCATGTTTCTTCAAACAATCTCTCTTGAATAAAGACATATATATTGTAGGTCTACATGTCTTATCAATTTCAATGTGGGTCACTTGTCAAAGATAGGGTTAAATTAAATGAATACATTAGAGTGGAATAATTGGTTGACAGTAATTATACTTATCTATCTATACAGTATATACATACAATGCAATAATTTATTTAATTTTAACTTGGTCTGTGAAAACAAACGGACATGTTTTAATTTTAAGGTTATAGTTTTAATCAAACATACCAGTACACATTTATAAAAAAATGTTAAATCGGCGGCAAATTTCAAATTCTTATGTTGCTTAAAAAATGACAAGACATAGACCAGGCGTTAGTTTGTTGATTTCAAAAATATGTATTTTTGTTTCGTTTCATAACACCATTTTAAGTCTGTCGCACAATTCTCTTTTTTATCTTCTGCAATTCTTATGTTGTTGTCGCAGGGTAGAATAACTTATCTAACTCCCGGCGTAGGTTCATCAATTAATAAGATATATATGAAGAACAAGCCTAAAACATAAATATAAAACAAGTTTAATGTAATAAAAACACAAACAATACATCATTACAACGATTGTCCGATGGCAATAAGAATTATTTTAAGTAAAGTAATAAAATGAATGAAATGAAGAATATTACCACAGCGTTTCATTAATAATGAAAATTACTTAATAATTTTATTTCTATAAACAAGAGCTCCGCTAGGCGGAGCATTATATGCCCGAAAGTGTGTTTTATAGTAAGGATGAAGCATTTGTAAGACATGGGAATCCTTCAAAAAGCAATCCTCCTTTATAGCTGACGAATCTTCATATGTATACAGTTGCTGTTTCCAAAGCACCACCATCAAGTTGTATCTTGTAAGTAAAAATGCTACGACGGATGGACAAAAAGACGCCATGGGTATAACATAATTTTTTAGGGGATATAATTAATGTACTCAATATAAATGATCATCCAATGAAGTTTGACAGTTGTAAAACTTTAACATTATTAATGTCATTTGATATTGACCTTTGACCTTGTGACCCAAATATAGATTTATTCAATATAGGCAAGGTAATAGTGACCTTGGGCAAGGTAATAGTGACCTTGACCTTTGACCTTGTGACCCCAAAGTCAATAGGGGTCTTCTACTCAATATTGACAATCATCCTATGAAGTTTGAACACTGTGGGCCAAATGGAACTTAAGTTCTGCTCCAGATCATTATGACCCTGACCTTTGACCTTATGACCCTAAAATCAATAGGGGTCATGTAATGGTCTTGGCTGTTCATCCTATAAAATTTTACAGCTATAGGTTGATTAATTCTTATGTTATTGAGCGGAAACTGTTTTCAGTTTTAAGGTCATAGTGACATTGACCTTTGACCTTCTGACCCCATAATCAATAAGGTCTTCTTCCCAATATGGACAATCATTCTATGAAATTTAAATACTGTGGGCAAAATGGAACTTGAGTTATGCTGCAGAAACTGTTTTCAGTTTAAGGTAATAGTGACCTTGACCTTTGACCTTGTGATCCCAAAATATAAAGGGGTCTTCTTCCCAAAATGGACAATCATCCTATGAAGTTTGAATATTGTGGGCTAAATGGAACTTAAGTTATGCTTCGGAAACCGAATTGCTAACGGACGGACGTGCCATAAATTGGGGTTTATGTGCTTTTTCTTTGATCTTTATGTGGCATTTTCCCCAATAAACCAGTAAAATTACCACATAAACCTATTGGTTTATGGGATTTCCTTCTTTTTTAACTAAAATTATGGACGGAATGAAGCTCATAGACCAATGGATGTTCGCCCGGACATACCAACTTTTGATATTTAAGAGGCAAATCAGCTCATAAACTACACCTGGACCAAAGTCCATAAGCAAAATTAGCTCATAAAAACAAAAACAAAATAGCTCTTAATTTGAATTTTATGAGTTTTTGTTTTTTATTTAACTACGGAATGAAGCTCATAAATATCAAATGTTTGCTCGGACGGACAGACAGACAGGCAGACGGACGGACGCCAGGGGGTATAACATAATATGCCCGAATTATTTCGGTCATATAATAATGTAAATTTTTACGAGCCAGGCGTAACGAGAAAGAAAAGCCAGCAACAAACTTGTAACAATAACAAATTTATTACAGAAAAATTATTAAAGAAAAATAAAATAACAAATTACGTTTACAAATACCTGAAGTCCAAATAAAAATTACAAATGTCTAGTCTGATCCTGGAATGATCCTTTTTCAATAGCACAGTTAAATCCAAGTTAAATCCAAGAACACTTTAGAATAAATTCCCACAATAAAATCCACAAGAATAATTAATAATCCAAGCTCCAATAAATCACTTAATTTCCAAATTGAATAATACTCCAAATATATTGATGACTTAAAAGATCACTGATGACTAAAAAGGTAACTGATGACTTAAAGATAAGATTAATGAAAAATGTCTCCTTATATATATTAACTAAGAAGTTTCCAGAAAGGTCTATTATGTTCTCAAGTAATCATAATCTAGCAACTTCAACAATAAAGATCATTCCAGAAGTTTCTATCTATGTAATATGTTGCATACATAACAAAATGTACAGAATTTAATGTATAACTACAATCCATTTGATATCTATACATGTTAGAGAAGTCAAAGTGCCATAGTCATAGTCATGTAACATTTTCTCTCAAATTTCAAACAACGATTGCACGTACAGAAACAGTTCACAAAACTGCACGAAGGAATTGCCTCGGTCACATCTGTGCATTTCCGCTAATGAGCGTACGTTACGGAAACGTCCGTAACTGCTTAAATTGAAAAATATAGGTATAATTCCTGAAATAATTAATTTAAAACTTTAAAGGTTTAGGCTTTATATTGCTTAAATTAATTTTGTTTCACTTATTTTTAAAAACCAAAGGTTTTGACCCAAAATGGTTTAGAAGAATCTGCATAACCAAGTGCAGGTGAATGACCTTACATATGATTAAAACTTTTCGCTCCTGATCACCTCAAACACAGTGAGGTTTACTTTATGATTGGCCTACTAAAGGTCATAAAAAGACTGAGCAATTTTACCATAGTCTTTACAAAAAATCTGCCTAACCCTGTAAAAATAAAAAAGTGCGTAAATTTGAACGTTTTGAGGTCCTGGTCAAGTAGGCAAAGGAGCAATTATATCAGGATCATTATGGGTACCTTCTGAGAAAACAACATAATCTAAATTAGACACACTTGATCTGAAAAATTCACATGTTGAATGTTTTTATTTATATCATGCTTTTGGGACGTTCAAAACAAGCCTCAATTCCGTTGAGATGTTCCTCGATAGTCTGGGAAAAATCAAAACATCATCTAGAAAAACACAATTACCCATACAGGTTTCCATTAACCTTTGCAATATGCCTTTAGCGTTGGTAAGAACAAATGCCATACTCTCACATTCATAAAAACAAGTCGTCTAATAATAAAAGCTGGGTTTGGTGTCTTTCTTGGCTATATCGAGCTGCCAGTAACCTCTGCGTCAATCTTATTTGTAGAAATGTTTTGCATTAATAAAGGAATCCAGCATATGATCTACACAATAAAAAGAAAAAAGCATATTTGATGGATCTTCTGTTCAGTCCACGAAATCAATGCAAAATCTGAAACAAATATCTTTCTTCCTGACAAAAACAACATTGCTACAATTGACTTCCTCTAATTGTGCCACACATAACATTTCCCACAAATGCTGATGAACTTATTGCTATATAGAAGGTGGCATTAATTTTCCTGCAATGATAACATCGGCAAATATAATGTGACGTTACACCAAGTAAGTTTTGCCAAAATCTGTGAGAGATTTAGAAAAATAATTTAAAAATTGCCTTAAAGCTGCTGCTTAGTCAAATTTCCTCACGTACTTTTACACCTTATTCATGTAAAGTTTAAAAAAAAAACAAGATATTTTTGGTTTAGTTGAAGACGGCGGCTTTCAGGTTTCAATTAGTAAACAACCCACACATATGAAGGAGAACAAATGTGAGTATTTAGTAGACTTCTGTAGGGTTTACAAGTGATTTTGAACACACAAACTGGTACTCTAGCAGTGTTTTTTTTCTTGTCTTCCTCAGCTATATCAAGCTGCTAGTAACCACTGCGTCAATCTAATTTGGACAAATGCTTTGCTTAGTAAGAGAATCTAGCATATCATATACACAAGGAAAAGAAAAAAGCATAGTGGTTCACTACCAAGAAGAAAACAAATATTTAAACCAGCTAAATGCGGTTTACCAGAAACTGCAATTATAGCAGTTGATACTCCCTAAAAAAACTTCCTAACAAATCTTGACTAGAAAATATGTTGGTTGACTTCACAGAAGTTAAGTTTGTACAATATGTTGCATCCACACCAGTTCTGCAAGTATTTGATTGAAATCATTGTTACAAAAGCGCAACATAATTTTCCCTATATGTACATTCAGTCAGTTTTCTGTATCCGGTATTATTAAAAAGGAACAGAAACAAAATGGTTATAAAAAAGTCTGTATCCGGCATCAAAACATCACCGTCAATATATCCTATGTATGGTAATTTGTTACCACAGTAACCTACAATATCAAGATTGAAATCAGTTATTATATACAAATCAGGTTTTGGTTTCAGTGAAATTTAAAATAATTCTGAAATCAAGGTAATCATATATCCACTGTCAACAAGTACATCTGTTTCAAAACCACATATAAAAGCTTTGCTTTAATTGGCTAACAAACCATTCTGTCAACCAAGTTACTATCTTGTACTGTAGGGCTAGCTTTTACGCATATTGACTTCCTTAGTTTAAACTAAAAACAGTGCCGTCTTCTAATGTTTGCCTTTAAATATACAGCTTGACATGTTACTATTTGACATAATATTAACATTACTTTTACTTACAGAACTATTTTCCTCTTATATATATGGGTCTTGATTGGTTATAACATTAACAGTTCCTGTCATTTATCTAGCAATTATACCTATTTCTAGAAATGAAAACGTGCAGTTTTTTCGGCTTCTCTTGTATCTGTTTTTTTTAAGAAAAACATTTTATTTATAAGTAAAAAAACAAAACATGTATAGAAGGGTGATCAAGTTATTTTTACCAGTGAGATCATGATCATGAGATAATCGATAATGTTTATATCAAATGGCGTAGACTTCTGGGCTACGTTAAAAAACAAAAAACTAAAAAATTACTTGATGGTGAAATACATGTTAAACGCACCTCTCTCGATAACCTGTTGTGTTAGAATCTTCAAGTCGGCATCGCTCACATCAGTCCAAAATTAAGAACTTAACATATCATTTCCAGGAGCAGCTGTAACATGGTCACTTTCAAGTTCGACCTGAAGAAAAGCTTCGATACGACACCCATAGGCAATTAATCTCAATTACTCTTCAGTGTCTGTTTGGGCGTCCGTGGCCGAGTGGTTAAGGTGGTTGACTTCAAACCACTTGCCCCTCACCGCTGTGGGTTCGAATCCCGACAGGGACTTTGGAGTTTTTCTTTTTTTAACATGGGGACTAAGTCGCAGACTGCAAAATAGAGAAAAAACAGAATCCCTAAAGAAAGCCCAACACGGCAAAATTGTAAATGTTACAGGCTTGGTTTGATTGAACCTGTTCATGGACGGTAATGGAATTGCAAGTTACCGTCCACGCCCCCTAGCACCGGCTTAAGTAGAATTCAACATTTAAACACGATAAATGGTGAAACCACACCCACTTGTTGTCATGAATAACTAGAACTATCGCTGAATGCGATTCATACCCCCACCAATGTCCTTGACAGAAGAGAAGACGACTTGGAAAGGTGGTTAAGGGAATAACTTAAGTGGCACAAATACATAAAAAGAAATTATCTCTGGTGAAAATAAGACTAATTGTACAGGTAATAGTATAAATTTATATTATCAAATCATGTTCGAAACAGTTACAAATAACCTTTCATTTTCCCAATGTACTAAACATTTTATTTATAAGTCAATTTTTAACCTTCAAGTGTGGTTTTGACCTTAATCTGGCACAAGGGTAAGATGGGTTTTGCACATTTGAGTAAAGTTTGAAGAAAATCCTTCCATTAGTATAGAATTTATAGAGTGGACACAACATATTGTCTAGTATTGATTGTATGTAAAATTGAAGACTTAAAAAGGGGCATAACTTTGTCAAAATGCAATACATAGTAATGAAACTTGACCTGCATATCTTATTTGCGACACCTCATATATCTTTTAAGTTTCAAGCAAATACCTGTGCTAGTTTCAGAAATATTCAAGTACTTGTTAAAATTTAAGAACATTTACTATGTCAATTTTTGACCTTCAAGTGTGACATTGACCTTTAGCCGGCACAAAGGTGACATGAATTCTGCACATAACCTTGTTGAGGTGAACATTTGAGTAAAGTTTGAAGAAAATTCTTCCATTAGTATAGGATTTATAGAGCGGACACGCCATATTGTCTAATATTTGATTGTATGTAAATTTGAAGACTTAAAAAGGGGCATAACTTTGTTAAAATGCAATACAGAGTTATGAAACTTGACCAGCATATCTTAATTGTGACACTTCATATGTATTTTAAGTTTCAAGCAAATACCTTTTCTAGATTCAGAAATATTCAAATAAATGTTAAAATTATAGAATATTTTCTTAGTCAATTTTTGACCTTCAAGTGTGACCTTGACCTTAAACCGGCAAAGGGGTGACATAGGTTCTGCACATCCCCTTGTTGAAGTGAACATTTGAGCCAAGATTGAAGAAAATCTTTCAATTAGTGTAGGACTTACAGAGCGGACACGACATACTGTGTAATATTTGGTTGTTTGATATTTGACCTTCAATTGAGACCTTGACCTTGAGCTGACACATGGGCAATATGGGTTCTGCACATCCCCTTGTTGAGGTGAACATTTGAGCTAAGTTTGAAGAAAATCCTTCAATTGGTGTAGGACTTACAGAGCGGACACGACATATTGTGTAATATTTGATTGTTTGATATTTGACCTTCAATTGTGACCTTGAGCTGACCGAAGGCAACATTGGTTCTGCACATCCCCTTGTTGAGGTGAACATTTGAGCCAGGTTTGAAGAAAATCTTTTAATTAGTGTAGGACTTACAGAGCGGACACGACATACTGTCTAATATTTGATTGTTTGATATTTGACCTTCAATTGTGACCTTGACCTTAAGCTGACACATGGGCAACATGGGTTCTGCACATCCCCTTGTTGAGGTGAACATTTGAGCCAAGTTTGAAGAAAATCTTTCAATTAGTGTAGGACTTACAGAGCGGACACGACATACTGTCTAATATTTGATTGTGTTTGATATTTGATCTTCAATTGTGACCTTGACGTTGAGCTGACACATAGGCAACATGGGTTCTGCATATCCCCTTGTTGATGTGAACATTTGAGCCAAGTTTGAAGAAAATCCTTCAATTGGTATAGGAGTTATAGAGCGGCACGACAATAGAGACAGACCGACCGACGGACCGACCGACCGACGCGACAAAGCGAATCCATTACAGCCCCCCCCCCCACATTTTGTGGTGGGGTATAATAAATACTAAAGAGAAGCTATGAAGACGAAGCGATTGGAGGCAGCAACGAAAGTTGTCAATTTAACGACCAGTATACTGAAGTGATTGAATCATGTGAAGAAAGTACGCGAGAAGATAATCAGCCAGTCAAATCTAGCCAGACTGAAAAAGAAGGAAATTATTCCAGATGTTATTATTCCAGAAAAGAAAGCAATAACGTAAAACATCTTGAATTGAAACAGTTTGTATCCATTTGGAAGATCAACGTTCGAAGAAAATGATGAAAAGGTAAAATTCTCCTTAGAACTTTCATGTTTTGCCATTTCTCTGTCATATTTCAAGCTTTGGGGCCTTACCTAGTCATTGATTGATTGATTGATTGATTGATTGATTGATTGATTGATAGATTGAACAGCCCACGTAGAAAAGATACCGAACTTAACGTAAATTCTTAACATTTTGTAGAAAAAAAATCCTACATTTCTGATCATTGTTGTTGCATTTACTGAAACACAAATATTGTTTGCATGTTCACGCATATAATTATTGTATCCTTTCATACTTTTTTTAAACTTTTTTTTAAAATTATAGAATGATGTCCCGATTAAAACATGTTATAGGAAAGAACACAGTTTTTCACCTGGGGAAATATGCAACTTCATACACTTTACAAAGCATTTTAACAGTTTTTGCTATTTACTTGACACTTTGCATATCGGGCATTCAATGAGAGAAGTTAGATTTCCGACATAAATGTACATTGCAACTGTTATGTTTGTTGTAATTTTAGTTTATGCTTTTTGATCTTTTCTTATTTGGTGGTTACATTTTTCCTAAATGAATAATGTATAATCACTCTTAAAATATGTTGCCTATTTACTGTAAATGTCAATGGTTTTGGAGTGCGAATGTTTAAAAGGCACATAATGCCACAGAAATCCATATTCATAAGATTCTTTGGAAATGTCAAACATGAGTTTAATAATGTTTTAATAATAGATTTAAAGTATGTAAGATGTTTCACAGCTGAAGACAGTATTGCTAATTGTGTGCAGTAATGTCTTATGTAAACAAAGTAGGATTTTGACTTCGATACTAAATACTAATTCACTTTAATTCATTTAAATTTTAACAATTGTCAACAATGCAAAAGAAGAAAACATTGTTGATCTATATGGCAAAAGAGTATTGTTTGGATACCAAAAATTGAAAGTATTTGTGAAATAAAAATGATAAAATTTCTGAGGCATAATGGGCCTTTAAACTCTTAAAAACATAAATTGATAGGCGATTTTTCTTTCAAATCCCAATATAGATAAGAGATTGTCATCACAGTTCATATGATTTTATTTATATACTGGCGTATAACAGTTGAGGTACATACGAGACAAGACAACCGTCATTCAATAAACACAAAACATTGCCAGCAACCTTATATAAATATATATTAAGATTAAAATCTTTAGTTTTCGGCTTTGTTCTTTAATTTATAAAGTTCTGCTAGTTTCCGGTCCCTCCATTCACGGCGCTGCTCGATTTTATCTAGTGGAATTTGTTGTTCGAGTTCTTCCTGAATCTTTTCAAGTGGCGATCCTTCAAACATGATTGGAGGCCCAGATTGCTTTTGAAGTTCATACAATGGATCTGCATACATTGAACAAAAATCCTTCATTCCTGAAACAAAATAGGAAGTGTACAGCAAAAACGAAAAATAGGGATATGAGCTAACAGAATGTTATTGGAGCACATTTAAACTATAACGAGGTCATGTTGTGCCTATGTAAGTCTATTTAACATTGATGACCCCCTAACTCTCACAAGCTTTGAGTGGTCAAAGTAACAGTTACCATTACCTTTGTCATACTGACCTCAAAATCATTAAAGATCATCTACTATTCATAACCAACATTCACACTGTAGGGAGAAGCATTATCTGGTAAAGGATCGGACAAACATTAAGGGTCAATGCCAATTGAACTCAAAATACGAAAGAGACATTTATCTGTAATGACCGATCTCTACACCAAATATCTAAAATGATATTATTGCCACCTGAGGCAGGGCGAGTTTTGACCTGGTACCATTATTTGAACAGTCATGGTAGATGTCCGTTTGAACAAATATGACGGATTATTCTTGTCGAAGTTTGTTCGGTGTAGTAGGTAAGCATATAATATAGACAAAGCCAAGCCTCTGTTATCAAATACTCTATAGAAGTTTACTTGTAGATATCATATGTGAGTTGATACTTGAATACAACACATATAATAGATATATAAACCATCCTTCGGGTCTTGTTTAGTTTGTGTGCTAGAAACCCATCCAAAAATAGTAAATAAATATTGTTCATACAAATTGCTGTGGACGCTCTACGGACAAGTTATGATCGCAAGAGCCCACCATGAGCATGTTGTGCTCAGGTAACCTAAAAACAATAAAACAATTAAAGTTTAATTATACATAATGAAATTATAATAGCCTTCAACTTACGTTACACTAATTTTCAAATTTTAATGGAGGTAATTTTACTAGATCTTGCATTGCCTTTCCGGAGCCATCAATGGTAGCTATTCTAAAATGTTACCCGCAAGCGCGAAACATTTACACGCAATTTTGTTTTAAAGAATCGTTTGTATATGGTATGAAAAAAACGTATTGCTGTGACATTAGTGGGCAAACAATCTTGCAATCCATGTAGTCTTGGTCTGACGGCATGCATTTTCTTCTGATTAATATTCTTTTACTTTTGCTTAATTGATTAATAATACTAGTATTATTTTTCTGTTAATGTGCTTAGAAAGCTGTTAATGACTTTTAGAATAATGTTGAAAATAAACCGTTTGCATTAAGGTAGCATGTTTCTAGGGCACCCATGAATGCATATCTCAACCCAAGTCCATGTGGAATAAGCTTGTCCAAGTCAGCTACACTGATAACATCATCCTAAAAAATTAAATTCAAGAAAACAACAAAGTAACCTTAAAATGGAAACAGTTAATGTCGTCTTTTTAATCAAACAACTGAGGAGGAAAAGTTGCATGTACGTATAGAATTGATCTTCAATTTTGTTTCGCCAATGTTAATAAAGTGGTCTGCATTGATTACGAAATATAAATATGCATCAAAAATTGATAATTGATACAATTTGAATAAATACATAAGTTAATCGAACCCGTATAAGTTTGAAACATTCCGCAGTAATCGTATGCTGAATGCGGCACATAATGAATCCCGCAGTCTCCTTCTTTGCAACGATCGGCACTTGACCAGCGTCTTCAAGTATAGTTCTAGCTTGAGTTACAACTGTTGGATCGGTCCAAGGAGCTGCAATGATTTCAACTAGTGGTACCAGATGTGGCGGGTTAATCTGAGTATTAGCATTGCGTTGTTATATTGATGAAAATAAACTATAATTCTGATGAAACACTATTATTTAAAATGTTCGTGAACTTATTGACCATTCTGTCAAACTTGAACAGGGGAGCTTTTTTGTCATGGATTTAATTAGTAAGATATATTCTATTTTTCATTTATGTTGATAGATATAACATTCTTATGGTTGATCATTCTTTTCAATCTTGTAGATGCAAATTATTGAATTCTTAGCAATTTTATAAAGGTGCGTATCAAATTGTTAACAATAAAATCTTACAGGATGTGAGACAATAATTCTGTCCTTGAGTTTCATTCCCTCCGAAAGTCGAGATGGAAAAATATTCCCGGTTGAGCTTGCTAATATAACATCCTTAGACGCATACTTTTCAGCGTCTTCAAACACACTTCTCTTTAACTTGATGTTTTCAAACACACATTCCTGTCAATGTTGAAAAAAAAAACTAAAGATTGTTTTCATTTTGTTTTTACTTGTACATTTACTAACCCCATCATAGGTTCAAAGGTGAGCATCACTGTGTACCTTACAATTACAGTGTTAGTATGAATGGTATGCAAAAATATAAATTGTTTTAGCTTATGAAACATGTAAAGCAAGATATAATAAAGTTCTTAAACACGTGCTGAAAAGCATCCTATTAGTCATTATATTCTTTTATACTATCATGCCATATCCATTCAGAAAGATGGAATATTTAAAGATGGTTCTAAATATCTAAAAAAATTCTTGATTGTACAAGTAGAGTCAATTCAGAGAAGTTCTTGTTATTTGCATTAAAATATGAAAAAGGTCCATACTCAACATTTAATTTTGTGGAAAAATTTTCCTTCCATTGTATAAACCATAAACAATGTCGCATCGCTTGGGATAATTATTAAGAATAACATTTTTAATTTCAATTATTTTTTTGCCTAAGAGTTATATTACTTTATGGTATTTGGAAACTGAAAATTATTGTTAAAACTAATCCAAAGATTTTCGATGATCACTATTTTTCTACCTAGCACATTAGTAAAGTCTTTGCATTACATTTCATTGTGTGTAGTTGTGGGTATGTAGGGGAGGGGAAGGGACGAGCTTGAATTGCATATTGACAATATATATTGGTTGTTCTACTTTTTTCTCGAAAGAAATCAAACATAGACTAAAGAGAAATTAACCTGAACGTAAGATGCACCAGCCACACACTGTTCCATAGAAGGCGTCGCTTTAATAAACGTGAGAGCTTCCGCAGCTGACATACTTCCACGTAAACATCCTTTCTCTTCGAGTTCTTCCATCTTCCTTTTTATGGACGCCAACCCATCTTCTAATTTTTCGGTCATATTATCGAAAATCCGTACATGGAATTTTGCCGTCGAGAAAACGATAGCCCAACTTTGGCCCACCAAACCACTTTAATATTTAATGAAAAGCATAAAAGGGTGTCAAGACAAAAATCTCAATATTCACGTAAATGTAATGCACATTATTGTTGATGACTGATGGTGTAATGTTAAAATGGTGAAACAATGTGTTGTAATAAAAATATTGCATCTTAAACTTTCGCAAAATAAATTAGTTTTGTGCCTAGATTATAATTTATCAAATATCATATCAGTTAGCATATCTCCCAAGCTCCCAATATATTAATTATTATCATACCAGCCGATTATTGCTAATGATTTATCCTGTGCCATGCTCCTTTGAACAATCTCTGTCGAGTGTAGACATTTATAATGCACTGTAACATACGGTGGCACAGAGGTGACATGTGGGTGTCTTTATTTATCTCGTTCCCACGAGTTAATAAGTCGTTCCCACGAGATAATATCTCGTTCCCACGAGATAATTATCTCGTTCCCACGAGATAATAAGTCGTTCCCACGACATAATATCTCGTTCCCACGAGATAATTATCTCGTTCCCACGACATAATATCTCGTTCCCACGAGATAATAAGTCGTTCCCACGACATAATATCTCGTTCCCACGAGATAATATCTCGTTCCCACGAGATAATTATCTCGTTCCCACGACATAATATCTCGTTCCCACGAGATAATAAGTCGTTCCCACGACATAATATCTCGTTCCCACGAGATAATATCTCGTTCCCACGAGTTAATTATCTTGTTCCCACGAGATAATATCTCGTTCCCACGAGATAATTTCAGCCAATCAAAACTCAGTATAGTGGAAAAATTAAAAGTTATTTCCCTTTTTTTAACAAATGCTAAAATGGACTTTAACAATCAGGCTAATATTAGAAACCTTATATCAAGATACTTTCATGAAAGATTGAATTACCGGCAAATAGTGACTGTGTTGCGAGAACAACATGGGATATTATTGTCAATAAGACATTTATATAGACTTTTAAGGTCTGAAGGACTTCAACGAAGGTCGTACTCTGATCCATCTTCAGTTATAGACTTCGTCCAGAATGAACTCCAACATTCAGGCCAGCAACACGGATACAGGATTATGCGTATGTCTGGCAAATGGTTTATATGTTCGATCAGGCGACATAGCAACCATTCTCCGTATAATGGATCCCGAGGGTAAGAAAATAGCACACCCGTCTTTATAAATGTATAGCCACAAATAACAAAATGTCATGTAAAAACTTGAGACACAGACATGACAACAAACGTCATATTTATAAGACTTTCTTTTCTGTATCCATTATCATATATTCCTTTATGTTATTTGATGAACAAAAAGCCTCTTCTGTATGAACTTCATAAACGCACTACCCAATTAAAGGAGAAATCACACAGCATCCAGCAGTATCAAAGCCACATGATCCCTATGCGACCAAACATTCACTTTGTTAAAGGTAAACCCATAGCAACGATGTTGGCCTATAAACATGAGAATACATACAGTAGAGAAATACTTTAAATGCGACGTGACGTGAGAATACAAACAAGAGAGAAATACTTTAAATGCCACGACACGTGAGATTACATACAGGAGAGAAATTCTTTAACTGCGACGAGAAATGAGAATACATACAGGAGAGAAATACTTGAAATACGACAAGACATGAGAATACATACAGGATAGAAAATCTTTAACTGCAACGAGACATGGGAATACATACAGGAGAGAAATTCTTTAACTTCGACGAGACATAAGAATACATACAGGAGAGAACTTCTTTAACTGCGACGAGACATGAGAATACATTCAGGAGAGATATTCTTTAACTGCGACGAGACGTGAGAATACATATAGGAGTGAAATACTATAACTGCGAAGAGACATGAGAATACATACAGGAGAGAAATAATTTAAATGCGACGAGACGTGAGAATACATACAGGAGAGAAATTATTTAACTCCGACGAGACATGAGAATACATACACGAGAGAAATTTTTAACTGTGACGAGACATGTGAATACATACACGAGAGAAAAATACATACTGGAGAGAAATTCTTTAACTGCGATGAGACATGAGAATACATACAGGAGAGAAAATCTTTAACTGCGACGAAACATAAGAATATAAACAGGACAGACATTCTTTAACTGCGACGTGACATGAGAATACATACAGGAGTGATTTTTTAAATGCGGCGAGACGTGAGAATGCATATAGGAGAGAAATTCTTTAACTGAGACGAGACATGAGAATACATACAGGAGAGAAATTCTTTAACTGAGACGAGACATGAAAATACATACAGGAGAAAGATACTTTAAATGTGACTAGAGATGGAGAATACATACAGGAGAGAAAAACTTTAAATGCGACGAGACATGAGAATACAGATAGGAGCGAAATTCTTTAACTGCGAAGAAATTGTTAAGAATACAAGATGCTCTTCTATATTTAGCTCTAGCGGTCCCCTTAAAGGGGTCAGGTGCTCGCATTTGAACCAACTTACGAACAGACCTTGCGTACATGCTACAGATCAACTTTGACGAGGAATATCCTGGATCCACCAAGCGGTTCATCAGAAGAGAATGTTTGAAGGTTTTTTTCTATATTAAGCCATAGCGGTATCTAAAAGGGGCCAGTGCTCTCATTTCCATAACCTTAAGAATAAGGACTAGGATCAAAGGGAAACACTGTCAGTGTTTGCTTCCGAGCTGATTGAAAACGATCCAAGTGCGTTTTCTGACAGTTGTGTTGTGACACAGACATCTGGGCCCGTATTCATCAACGTTTAAAGTCTAAAACTTAGACTTTGACTTAAGAACAGCAAATAATCAAATTGCCATAACTTTGTTTGTAATTTATTTTGCATAAAGAAATTTTGCCCTTTTGTTTGCAGGCATAGAATGCACATTCATGTAAAGTTTCATTGTAATCTAATATGTTTTAACAAGGACAGAGTAAAATGAAATATTGGCATTTTGAAGTCAAAGTCTAAAACTTAGACTTTAAACTTTGATGAATACGGGCCCTGGTCGGACCATGGGTCACATTTCTTTAAATTACACCACAATATTGGGTCGTAGGGTCGTTATTCTTTGGGGTCACAATTCTTTGCAAGGGGTCACTTTGCTTCACGTGAGTGAGTTGTAGCCTTTCAATATTATGATTTTATGACCGGAGATCATTATTTTGTCATTATTCTGTTGGGATCACTCTACTTCGTTACCCTCCCAGAGATAAACAAGGGGGACTGATTCACTGATTCTGCTTTTTATCTTCTTGGTTAGTGCTCAGTGACTAAGATCTAGATGAATGTACACCCACATGTCACCTCTGTGCCACCGTATGAATGGGATATCTATTGGTGCCATTGCGCGACTGGACCGGCCATACAGCTTGGCACTGGTGTGCAATATATTTTATCAATGACCATTGACTAACAATAGGCCCTTTGAATACAGATTATTAATGGAATTGCACTAATTAAGGTGATTCTGCTTTGTCAGCCATGTTTGTTTTCACTATGTGGGTCCAAAGTGAAAGTAGGCCAAAATTCATATAACAACAAAGCTCACATTGTTATATGATGAGCCATTTGCAAGTACACATCCAGTTCTATGTTTTAAAGACTATTTTAAACAAAAATAAAAATGATAACAATAAGAAAAATTACCTTGAATGTGCTACATTTCTGAAGACCAAAAACATTCTGTTGCTAAGTTTTATGCACATTTCATGAATGGCAAAATCTTTTTTAAAGTCTGTTTTAGTGCCTACAAAAGCTACTTTTTGCAGAAAATACAAAAAAACTTTGAAAAATATAAACCTTAGGAAAGTAGTTTATCTGACCTTGAAAAAACATGGCCACCATGACATGTGTAAAAAAGTAGTACCATGAAAAAAACATAATTTATCTATCTCTTGTGTACATGACAAACAGACACACTTCACTGTTACACATAAAAAAGGTTAGATTTTAAAGTTTGATTGTGTTTTCATTTTAATTGTAGTTCATAAGGCTATAAATGATGATTGTTTTCTTGCACTACTTTTTTACAAAAAATAATGGAGGCCATGTGCTTAGAAGGACATGAGATATGGATTTATTTGGAGTTAAGTTTTGAAAGATTTTTGTATTTGCTGCAAAAAATAGCTTTTGTAGGCACTAAAACAGACTTAAAAAAGGATTTTGCCATTCATGAAATGTGCATAAAACTTTGCAACAGAATGTTTTTGGTCTTCAGAAATGTAGCACATTCAAGGTAAATATTCTTATTGTTATCATTTTTATTTTTGTTTATAATTGTCCTTAAAATATAAACCTGGAAGTGTACTTTCAAATGGTTCATCATTTTAAAATAAGAGCTTTGTTGTTATATGAATTTTGGCCTACTTTCACTTTGGACAGACTTTGTGAAAACAAACATGGCTGACAAAGCGGAATCACCTTAATTTCTATATTTTTCGTCCTGAAAAAAAACCCAGAAGGCCCTAACCCCGAGTTACGAGGACTATACAAACGTGCATGCTAAATGTATCTGTATCTAACTAAACAAATGCAATTAGATCTATTCTAGTATAAATTAACAATACCTGATTTGAAAGAAACTCCCGATATTGATAATCAGCAAATGGTTAAAAGAAGGAAAAGGGAAGTAACTTTTTGTTGCGTTTTTACAAAGACGAATGAAGCGCAAAAAGGGGAATAACCTTTTCCTGTCACATTGAAAGCTTTTCATTGGCTAATTTATCTTGTTCCCACCAGATAATTATCTCGTGGGAACGAGATATTATCTCGTGGGAACGAGATAATAAGTCGTGGGAACGAGATATTATCTCGTGGGAACGAGATAATTAACTCGTGGTAACGAGATAATAAGTCGTGGGAACGAGATAATTATATCGTGGGAACGAGATATTATGTCGTGGGAACGAGATAAAAAAAGACACCCACATGTCACCTCTGTGCCACCGTAGTTTAAGTCAAATTTTGCCTTCGTTTAAACACATTTTTTTTGCATATTCTCGCATAAAGGTGAACGTCGCGTGGCCAAGACTTACACTATATCCCCGTTCACCTTCATTCTTTTATTTTTACTTAATTTAATAGAATGATGTCCCGATTAAAACATTTTACATAAAATCAATGATAGCAAAGAGCTCAGTATTTCACCTGGTAAATTGTGCAACTGCATACACTTGTAACATTTTTAACAGTTTTTGCTATTTACTTTTCATTTTGCATAAACGTAACAAATATCGGACATTCAAAGAGAGCAGTTAGAATTCCGACATAAATGTACATGTACATTGCAACTATGTTTGTTTGTAATTTTAGTTTATTCCATTTGATCTTTTTTTTTATTTGGTGGTTCCATTTTTCTTAATGAATAATGTGTAATCACCCTTAGAATGTATTGCATATTTACTGTACATGTCCATGGTTTTGCAGTGCAAATGTTTAAAAGACACAGGTACATAATGTCACAGAAATCCATATATTTTAGATTCTTTAGAAATGTCAAACATGAGTTAAATTATGTTTTAATAATGGATTTATAGTATGTCAGGTGTTTCACATCTAAAGAAAGTATTGCTAAATGTGCAGTTATGTGTCATTAAGGTAGCAAAACGTAAACAAAGTAGTATTTTGACTACGATACTAATACTAATTTACTATAATTATAACAATTGCCAACAATGCAAAAGAAGCAAATAATTATAGTTGATCTTAAATGCAAATGAGTATAGTTTGCATATAATAAGTGATTGCCATTACAGTTCATATGATTTTATTTATATACTGGCGTATAACAGCTGGGGTACATAAAAGACATCCGTCATCCAATAAATACAAAACAATGCAAGTGACCGTATATATTTTATTTTAAGGTCACAATTTCTAGTTTCCGGTTTCGTTTTTCAGTTTATAAAGTTCGGCTAATTTCTGGTCCTTCCATTCGTGGCGCTGCTCGACCTTATTCCGTGGAAATTGTTGCTCAAGATGTTGATGGATCTTTTCAAGTGGCGGTCCTTCCAAACGGATCGGTGGCCCAGCTTCCTTTTGCAATTCGTACACTTGCTCTCCATACGTTGAACAAAAATCCTTTATACCTGTAACAAATTGATTTGAAAGTCAAACAATGTATTTATACTTTAAGGAAAATAATTTTAAAGCTACACATATCGAGAGTTCTCCAGAAAAATGTTCACCATTTGAAATGTCTTCAATGGTGCATTGCATCGTTTTTGGAGATATTATAAAAGGGGAACATGTCTTGTAACCTATCAGCGTGTATCATTTTTACGAGCCCATCGGGCCATAGTTTTTCCATACGTTTTTTTTCAGATACACTACCATGATTACATCCATAGTTTTGAAAAAAAATCTCAATGATTCAGTATTTAATTGTGATAGATTGATTTTGATATATTCTTAATATAAAATCAATAATGAAGATCTCGGCATTGATCTTTTCCTGTTTTTAATACCCTCCTATCTACCTATCGAAAAGGATAATTTTGATGTTTTCGTGACACAGCAGCTTTGCAGATGGTTGTCTTCAAAGGATATTTTAGCACAACTGAACACGAAACCAACATACGTTTACTTTTTGAAAAAAACGCCTTGAAAAAATCCACAGTTAGAACGCACAATCAAACAGTTGAAAAAGAGAGGTGCAGAAGAAAGTATCAATCACTTTAAACTAAAAGAAACATAAATACATACAAACTTTCTTAAAACATTGGAATTTTGTTCTGAAAATATGAGACAACTTTTTGAAAGCAAAAATCGTTGACTCGTACGTTATATTGAAAGTCAGTCGAATTTCTAAAGAACGTCCTAAGTATGTACTCCTCGCAGTCTGTCGTAATTAAATTTTCTAGAGCGAGTTGATCAAACAAAGCTCATAAAATATTGACAATAAAATATTAGATATCTACAAGCCACTGACAGAAATTGAAATAATACAAGACAGAAATCGGAAAGTGCCAAAATGACCAACGGAACATTGTCCAAATTGAAATGAGAAAATTCTAACAGAAAGAGAACAAGACAGTACAGAACTGTCAATACAGAAACCAGTGGTTAAAAATTATCCACGCCTTCACGTAGAACACCGGGAAATTAAAATGAAATTATAGCTAGCATATGCACAATGCATTTTTAAACGTAACAAATGACACTGTAACTAAAGCCGTAGATGGATGGAAAATACACTAAGTGTTGAAAATATTGATGTATATTTTCAAGTCTCATACTGGAATTATATCTTGAGAGTATCTTGAGAGAAAAACAGCTTGGGAATTCTGATACACCTTTGACTCAGGAACTTTGATACATTGTGCCTTTGTCTCTCCAACGAAAATGCAGATGTTGAAAGAAGCCTTTCTATTTACATGCCAGAATAGTCAATTCTGTATGGCGTAGCAGCATTAAATGAATGACGACATCTGTCTTCATGGAAATGTTCAACCGAGAAATTATAGAGATCATACAAGAAATATTAGGTCTGGAAAGACTGAAATATGAAAGGTCAGTGGTCATGACTTGGTAAATAAAGAATGTAAAAGTGATAATGACATTACAGTTCAGAGGAAAAAACAGAGAAAGAGTGAAAATAAGTGAACAAGTAGGATGAGGTGGAAACTAATAAAAATGTTTCGGATTTTACAGTTATATAAAGTCATAAATATACAATGTATGTTTTGTTACATAGTTCTAGACTAAATGTACATAAGACAACTTATGGGCAGCAGGCTTTATAAGTTTACTGTTTTCTATATTAAGCGATTCATACCTTATGAATCCTTTATAGCCAACCGTTGCTATTATTTGTCAGTATTGCATTTATATTTTGGAAAATTAGCTGTCTTGTAAAATTTTACCGCCTCCGTGGTCGAGGGGTTAGAGTCGATGACTTCTAATCCAGTTACCTCTCTGGCATGGGTTCGATCCTCGGGAGATGCTAAGGTAGTTTAGCGCGGAGGAAGGTAGTCTAGTACTGGTGTAACTCTCCAGAAACGATGGTTAGGAATCTACCCGCCTATATGACTGAAATACTGTTGCGTAAAATGAAACAAAAACAAACAAAAGTCTTGTAAAATTGACTTTGATTTACAAGTCTCTCCTTTGTTTGCTATGTGAAAACCATGTGAAACTAGGATGCTAGCAAATCTTTGCTAAAAACCGTAGCTCTTTTTTTGTTTTCTAGTGTGTTATTATGTTATTTAAAATATGAAAAACAATGTCAACAAAAAAGGCGGCGTTCAATAAACGCAACCCCCACATGACCTAGCGACAGGAACCAGTGGCGGCGAACCCCAAACAAAAACAGGACAGGGCACAAGGCAGGACACGGACAGACTTATCACTAAAATGGTAAGTAAAATCATGTTGAGACCTATCCATGTAATTCAAATATTATGCTTGCCAAAACATTGTTTTAAAACACAACATTTTACTCGTTTGTATAGTTTGATTTCTGACAAATTTATTGTTGATAAGTTTATTTCATTATTGGAGTTGAACCTTATAAAATTCCACATCAAGGTTCATGTTGTCAAGATGCCCTGGCGTTGGATCCCTATTAAGACCATGGTAACTGGTTTATTTAAAGAAGAAAATGTCATGGGTAAACGTTTGTATTTAATCTGCATGATCTTTAATCTCTGAAAATGCTAACTTGACTTTTTACTTATTGGACACATGACTACCCCCTTCCCATGAAGCTGTTGTATGTCCTATACATTGATTTTCTTTATTTGTTGATGAAATAATGTTCTACCATTTCTATAGTTTATTTAATTATAGTTTATTTAAAGGTTTGTTGCAACATCTTAAATAATTTTAAAACCAAACCGTTTGTGTTAATATGGGATGCTTCCAAAGCACCCATAAATGCATATCTCATTCCAAGTCCATACGGCATGAGCTTTTCCAGGTCATTGACACTGATAACATCATCCTAGAAAAGAAATCAACAAGTTATTAACATGTCAGTGAGTATATTCCTGTGGTAAGTATTATTCCATAATACAAAAATTATAGTATAGCAAACAGAGTTTCCTCCTAAAACCAAAATCATTTGTACCATCAAAGAATTAGGGTAGTAATAAAAAGGAACAAACATTAAATTCCAGTTAGGTTTTCATTCCTATTGCAACCGAAGACTAGATGCTTTTTGTAATGTGTCACCGTTGCATCATACAGTTGTTGCTTCTCCATCACTATTTCATTGGGCTTTTCAGAATTTTCTTTCAAACTAAATAAAGCATTTATGTCTGAGGCATCTTGTCATGACGAGACATATTCATGCCTATCAGCGACCGTAAAAAAGTCGCCAATCATGCGAAACGTCACGCACGCCGTCGCGGATTACAAACGGACAAGGAAAGACTCAACGTATTCTTTGTTGAGAGAATTGGTCGCGAACGCGGATCACGGTCGCCGATCATGGATCATTTACCAATGGAATAGCGCCCTAAGGTATACAGAATGATGTGAAAAAAATTAAAATGAGATAATGTACTTGAAATTTCGATGAAACACGGAAATGACCTTCAAAAAGGTAGTCAGTTCGTTATTCTCAGTAAAAATAAAAATATTTCTGGAATAAAAAGGTTGGTTATTTTAAAACATTGTGGTTCGTTTATTTACCGTGTTACTCGTTTTAGCCATAGCTTTTCACAGATAAGGAAGGTTGCACACTTGGTTCAATCGAGCGAAACGGTTGCATACTTGACAAAAGGCTATCAATTTTTGAAAATTTATAACGTCCCCAGGTGAGTGGGTTTGTATGTTATTTTGAAATTAATGAATATGTTCATTCATGAAGACAAATGACGCACTCGCTTAAAAGTTTCATCTTTTGGCGGTGTTATTGAAGATATAAACTGGTCATGTATAACAATGATTTTTCTGGTCGATATGTTTACTTATTTCTTCACATCTGTAAGTTTGTTTTGAAGTTCATCAAAGACAAATATGTTACTTTCAGTATTGTATTAATGTTTTAATTTGCATTCAATATAAAAAATGCGAAGCAAAGAGAGACTATTATGTAGAGGTTTGACCTGATTTTGATTTTGAAAAAAAAGTAAAAAGAAAAAAAACAGCACAAGTTATCGAACCCGTATCAGTTTGAAACACTCCGCGGTAACCGTGTGTTGAATACGACATATAATGAATCCCGCAGTCTCCTTCTTTGCAACGATGGGCACTTGACCAGCGTCTTCAAGGATAGTTCTAGCTTGAGTAACAACTGTTGGGTCGGTCCAAGGAGCCGCAATGATTTCAACCAGTGGAACCAGATGTGGAGGATTAAGCTGTGTAGTAGAATCGTTTTTAAATATAAATACAAATTATCAGTGACATTATATCTTTAAAATGTCACGTGTTTGCAGTGTGTCAATACCACATAACTTTCATGTCATTTTTAGTAGCACGGCAAGCAGAAATAGTTAATAAACCGCTCGATTTAAGTCTTTAATTTCAAGAAGTTCTTTATTTCTTTATCAATTAAGACCAATTAAAATGGAAGTTTAGTTGTATACCATAGTTGTATGGTAATAATTTATTTGATGGATGAACAGTTTTGTCCCGGAAACGGGACAACTATTTGTGTGTACAGTTAAAAAACAGTACGAGAAAATAATAGTTTTTCCGTTTTCGGGCCAATACTATTCATCTATCAAAAAACTATTGCCATGCACTAGTAAAATACAACTTTTCTCTTAACCTCCACTTAATTTGGTCATAATCAATAAAGAAATAAAGAATTTACGAGCGAGTCCAAGCGATTTTCTGCATGCCGTACTACCAAAAAATCGACGTCAAAGGTACGTGGCATGGGCTCACATAATAATCTCCGACTCCTAATTTTAATCACGTTAGAACTCTCAAGGAGAAAACAATTTTTATCAGTCTGGTAGACAGATTATCGCTGAAACTACGGGGTATAACAAACTGTAAAAAGGTCTTACAGGGTGTGCAACAATGATTCTGTCCTTGAGTTTCATTCCCTCCGAAAGTCGAGATGGAAACATATCACCTGAGGAGCTTGCTAATATAACATCCTTAGACGCATACTTTTCAGCCTCAGCAAACACACTTCTCTTCAAGTCGAAATTTTCAAACACACATTCCTGTTGGTTTTATAAAAAAAAGCATATATAATTAGATTTGTTTACGTTCACTTAAGTTTATTGCTGATAATAATGCATTATACGATACATTGTATATTTCTGGACCCTTTATGATCTCAACCATATATCAGTTTGACAATGCTTTTTTTCATTTAATCAAATTTCTTTTTCTTTGTTCTTTTATACAGGACATTATAGACCTATAATATTCAGAAAAATACCTGGACGTAAGATGCACCTGTCACGCACTGGTCCATAGAAGAAGTTCTTTTTATAAATTTGAAAGCTTCCGCGGCAGAAATATTGCCACGTAAAAGCCCTTTCTCTTCAAGTTTTCCCATCTTACTTTTTATGGACGCTAAACCATCGTCTAATCTTTCAGGCATATTGTCAAAAATCCGTACATGGAACCTTGCTGTCGAAAAAACGATAGCCCAACTTTGGCCTATTCTACCACTAAACGAGTAAAAGACAAAAAAAATTGTAATGTGACGTTTATTTATCTTAATCGCTTTTGTCCCAACAAGAATGTTTAACAATTAATTTTGTTTTTTTCTTCTTTGACTATCATTGCAGTTTTTGTAAATTTTTATTTAAGAAATAATATCGGCCTGAGGGGAGTATATCGGCTCTTTAACACAGGTTTGGAGTTTTGATGCGTAGAAATTGACCACGAAGGCCGTAGGCCTGAGTGGTTAATTTTGTCGCATCAAAACGACAAAACCGGTGTAAAACAAAAAAAAATGGTCATTTTATTATAATCAGGCACATTATGCCTCAGAATTCCAAATATTTTCATTTCTTTACAAATGTCAAGCATGTGTTTAATAATGTTTAAAGAATGAAATAAAGTGCATGTTAGATGAAATTCAACTGAAAAAAATAGCGCTGTACATGCAGCTGTGGCCGCCAAGGCAAGAAAAATGACTTCCAAAAGACAACAAAAGATGCAAAGAAAGTTCGTGCAGTAAAAACAGTAAACAATTAAAGAAAACAGAAGAAGTTTTTGAGAAATAAAAGCGATACTATTTCTGAAGCATAATGGGCCTTTAAACAAGAGTCGTCTCAGTCGCAAGTGCTAAAATTGATATAAAATCAGGCATATTGTATCAAATATAACAAACAAAACATTTTAAAGTACAAATCATTTCCATACTGTATAATTAGATCTAATTTTAAAAAAAAACCTATAATTACAAAACAAAGAAAACAATATGTATTATAATGATACATTAGTAATTCATTATGATCATACCAGCCAATTAACGCAACCGATTTATACTGAGTCATGTTTCTTCATACACGTAGATCTTTGCACAATTTTTATATACTATTTAAGACGACAGACAGTGCATGTCTCTTCTGATTTGAGATAACCTGCAACACGAATGCAATTTATCTAAGAATGAGGTCCTGAAAGAGGTAACATAAAGATGATCTTTCAAAAAGACAGAGGTCTTACTGAGGGGAAAATCAGTAGAATATCCTTGTTAGTATATGAAGTACATAAAATAATGGCAAAGGAACATTACTTAGTATACGAGTAAAATATGCGCTAGATAGGTACCATGCCATACTGATACTTTTCCCAAGAATGAAGTGGAAATATCACGGATAAAAGTTTTTTGATTCACTACGCATTGTAGTACGATTTGTAATGTCTGGTTTCGTTTTGGATTGGCGAAAACACGTATACCGGAAATGAGTCAGCTGGTATACTATTAGAAATGCGATACATCCCATTAGCGCTATTTTGAGAAAGAGTGACAACGTGATGTAAATTCAAGACGCCGTTGACGTTGCCAAAGTGTTCTCTTGCATAGCAGACTGGCGTTTCCGTGAGTTTTACTTATACCGGAATAATAAATGATTTAACTCAATACATGATTGGAGCAATACCTCTAGACGCTTGCAGAAATCATGACAAATATCGTTGTTTTCGCTGAATTTTACTTTTTTTCATTCATTATCATAGATAAATCGGTGTGCAATGATGAATAAGACCCATTTGGGTAAAAAGGCAATATTTTAGCATTTTATTATTCAAGCGCCTTGCTCGGTATATACCGGAATACGGTATTTAGTGTGGTGCTCCAGTCTCACTCATTAATGATATCAAACTCCTCACACTGATTTCCTCCCTTGGCAAAATTGTAATCACTGCCTTCACAGACGTCACATGATGATGAAAGTCACATGACGTAACGTCGAAATTCAAATGTAAATACTAGTGGTTAGAAGTTTGGTTAGATAAAATTTCGTCAAATCTTAAATTCGTGGATTGACCTACCCACGAAAACCACGAAAATTCGTGCCCCACGAATAATAATGATTCTACAGTATCGACCGTTACATAGAAAATCTAACGTCATTTTTCTCTTTCTGTTTTATTTTTTAACTTTTTGTACCTGCGTCCGTTGTATTTTATCAAAAAATTATCAAAAGTATACAAAATAATGAAAAATAGATAAAAAAGCTAAACAATATAAATATCCAATGTTTGTGATGGCAGAGATCTCTGTACTGATAAGGGGAGATCACTGCGTAGGAGATTGTAATAATATATGTGATATGTTGCGGTTCGGACCGGAATATCCATCCCGAGGGGGACTCGCCCATATGTCAGATTTTTTTCGCATATTTTGCCATATTATTTCATATTAAAAATGGTTAATATGATATATGTTCATGGAAATATAAGTCATTCCATCCAAAACTATTTTCTTACATTAGCGTATGAACTTACAGACGAAATGACGTCATCCGTAGCACATATTTCCCTTCTAAAACGACGTCATTTTAACACGGTTGATTCATATGAATTCATGAGGTGCGTTAAAATGACGTATTCACATTTTACCGGTTTGCAAAACCTTATCAGTCAGTCAAGCCCGTCTTAAAGATATGGTCATTTATTTTGGTGGCAACACCCAATTTTTTCTTTATGTTGCATATAATAAACCTTTTTACAAAGTGGTCTGTTGCTATCAAAATCGGTCGGAAGTAGTATTTCCTAGCGCATGTGCAATCTGCGTAGGGCAAAAAGAGTATCGCCCTACATAGAAATATAATAAAATTTCATAGACAATTCCGAAATAGTTTAAGGTGAAAAGTATAAAACTGTATGAAATGGCTTCTAACAAAAACATGTAAGATGCCTTTATAGTGGCCAAGTTCCCATAACAATGCATGGAAAAAACGACTGTTTGAGAATTCCCTCTCACGATTACGGACCTGACATTTACATATATTTTTTTTTTTTTTTTTTTTTTTATTATTATTTTTTAATGTGGAACTTTATCTAGAGGTCATCTTAACTGTTGTTGAAATAGTTCATATAAAAACTAAAGAAATTTGAATAATATATTTAATCGTGGTTAATTATCATTCTGGAAAATGTTAGAACACGTAACAATGCATTTTAAGTTTTCAGTTTACCTGATTTTATCCTTTTATCTGATCGATGCCAAACAAAAACAATTTTAATTCACATAAACATATTCACATAATTTTACAAAATATTGAGAAATTAAGATGGGTAGTGGGTAAGAAAATAACCCGGTTCTCGATCGTAACACCTGTAAATGCACGTCACACTATTCGGCACTTCACAAAATCATTGGTTTATGTAAAAGCTAATTAAATTACAAATTTATATTTCTACGTGTTTAACTATGTCCCGGTACTTAAACTAGCTGTTTTTTGATAATACGAATATTAATATTTTCTCAAATTTAAAATTGAACTGCTTGTCTTCAAAATCGGTATCATTTTAGTCTAAATTGCCAAATAATGTTAAACCTACATGGACACGTATTGAATAATGGCTTATTTAATACTAGTATTAAGCCAACAGAAATATATAATTAACATAAAATATGAAGATTAAGAGTATTTGTGCAACCATTTTGTAAAGAATTTTGCATTAATATTGCATTTTACAAGCGTAATTTTTACAAAACTATTTACGAGGCTCTGAACAGTTTAACAGTTTGTTTTTAATAATATCAATGTTATTATACTTGATATATCTAGAGTGGATATTTGTCTTGCTTATAATTTGTCATTTATTTAAATCATTAAACAATGTAACATAAAATTTCTTTGTCAAACAGTTATTTTTTTTCAACATTTACGAGCCTTTCATTTATGGGCCTTTGCCTATTTCACCTTCTCTTGTGATTTATTCTGCTTGTTTGGTTGAATTATTTTAACTTGTCAATGGAAATTGGTATTGTTGGAATTGCATTATTCCATGAAAACAAAGATTTTTAAATATATATATAAAATATGTGCATCACTTGCAGACAGCTTCTAAAAATCATAATTATTATATTTTAATTGATATTTAGAAGTTTTGGCTTTTATAGAGTTCAACGGATATTTACTTTCGTGAAAGGATATATTTAAACTTATATTGCAATCAGGTGTGTCCCGTTTCTGGTGGAACTGTCCTGTAAATGGTAAAAATAATTGTGGAATATTCTTTTTTTTCCAAGCTTTTTGGTGAAAACGCAATTATTTTGGTGTATATTGTAATAATTGTAAGATGGTAGGTTCTTTGGAGCAGATTTGGTGATAACTAGCTAGTATATGTTCTTAAAGCAAATAAATTTAAATCTTTTTCATAGATTTTTTAGTGAAATGTGATATGATTATTCATGCATCTGCTAATAAAATATTTTACTTTATCTTAGATTAAGATGTCACACACACGGTTATGGGGCAAATTTATATAATATATATTATAGAGACTGACAAGGCAAGTTAAATGAAATGACAGTTTATAGATCACAGTCACTGCATCACCTAGCTGAAGGAAGCAATAAACAATGTCTTATATTAAATATTTAGTGAACACCATAACACATTTCATTTAACAAATTTTATTCACAATTCATTAATGAATATGTCAAAAATGCAATAACACTTAGAACTTTATATAGCAAACAGACAAATAAAAATCTATAAACTTAACAACTTCATTTTAGTGTTTAACATTTATACAGAAATCATCTATTTAACTTGGAAAAATATATTATTTGATTGTCTAAAATAAGGTATCCTAATTTTAACCATTAATGTTAAGCAATGGTTTTGTTTGCATAATTTTATATACTAAACATACTGAAGTAAATTGATGTTTCTTTTAAATATTCATTTCTGCAAGAAACTTCAGAAATTGGTATTTTTGCTGTTACCTCAGTGCAAAACCACAATGTTATCAGTAAAAATACAACGGTGTAGTTTGTTTTTGAACTGCAATTTTTAGTTTTTCCATTGCTGAAAAGTAGAGTACATGTAACTTCTGTTCTGTAACCAATAATTTCAATGTACCATCATATATCAGTGAAACATTATCAAGTTTATCTTGCTATTCACATGGCAAATTTTTGAAGAATGAGTGATAAGCCTGTGAAATAACATTCTGATCACACAACTTTTTCAAGTCCTCGTACTTAGTCTATGAAACCTTTGGACTGTTTCCATGTCTCAAGAGTGGTTTAATATCATGCAAATTCTTATCCTTATTCCACAGACTTGGTTGCAGATTTAAGTGAACATTAATTATACTGAATGAGAGCAGTATCAGGATACTCAATGTGGAATGAAATTGTCTAAATTTCCATCCACCGCATTTAAGATCCTTGACTTCCTTACTTTTGACTTAGATGCTTAAAATCATAACAATTCGTACTTGCCTTCTCGGTAACATGGTAAGGATTTGTACGTCTTGCCATTTGAATGCAAGCACACCACTGTGATGTGATATACAATGTTATATGTTTACAAGCCCGTTCAATTGCTAAATGAACATAATCGTTTTCATTCTGTGTGTGGCCACGCTCTAGGTACTTATTAGATACACTGTCAAATTTTAGTGTCTTCATATTGTACCAAAGCATGGTCTAAATAGAGCTAGATGGTTCAGACTGATGTGTCACGTCAGTCTGATCTGCACCGGTCACAGAGCTATGTGAAGCAGGTGTCACATTAGACTGTTCATTAATTTTTAGTCTTTGTTGTGTAGTGTCATCTCTAACAGATTTCAGAATTACATTTTCTGGTGTATTTTCAATGTCTTCAAATTTGTTAAAAATCTCTATTTCAATGGAATCAAGTACTGTCATTCAAATTCTCAAAAGTCTCTGATAAGTCTAACATGCTGTAATTTGCTTCAATAGATGAAACACTGCTGACACTTGATATACTAGATTCATCCAGCATACCCTCTTGAATCAGGAAAAAACATCAAAATCTGAATTGATCAGTCCTGTCTGTGTTGTCTAGAATGGCAAAAACACTTACAGCTTCAAAAGGAATATTTTTGTCAACTGAAGATGACAGATCTATGTCGTATAAACAGACA